CAAAAGAAAAGCCAGGGCAATCAGGTGAAAATACCCAGGCTTCCTTACCACACCGATTCCCTCTCCTGTGTGAACAGTACATAGGTTGCGCTTCATTCGGAAGCAACTCCATCCCCAGCTCTGGGTCAGGCCCTGATAGGTTCAAACCCAGCAGCCCCTTTACATACAAAGAACAGACAAGCAGAGCTGTGCCTTCAAGGGAGGATGTGAAAGCTAACAGCACCAAGATGTGGGGAGACCCTTGCAAAGAGGGTATCCCTCCTCCTCTGGACTCTGGCAGACATTTCTGCTGCCTGGAAGACAGCCTGGCATAGGGTCTGCCCTGTGAGAGCAGAGAAAAGGGACAGGCCTCCATACAAGCTGCTGGACCGAGCCACTCCTGAAATTACACCCCATAGTGTCACTTTGTTTTTAGAGATCCTCATTAACTCTGACAGCTTGCATGTGCTTTCTACCTAGTCGAGATGTAAGGTGTACCAGCAATGGAAGTCCCCAGCCAAATTCTATATTGTTGGCTGGGAGCCCACTGGGGTCAGATAATAACGCATTGATCACTTTGCTGGCCCAGAGCAAGCTCCAAAGGCATTCGGGGAACGACCGAGCCTGATGGGCCTGGGCCAGCTTCCTCTTTTAAGGTGCACTATGTGTCATGGAACATACATGTAACTGAACAGATCTGAAAGTGCCCTAGGCACCCATCTCCCCTGTCTCAGGACAGCTGAATGGCCCTGATTGGCTGAGAGCAAGGCAGGCTGGAGCCAGCCTTCCCTGGCAGCCCTCATCTAGGTCCCTGGGCAAAGTGCCTGAGCCCCAAGGTGGCAGCTGGGTGGAGGGCAGTTCCTGGGGCCCATGACTGCTAGCAAGGCCATCAGTGGTGACAGAAACTTGGGGAGCTGAGTACAGTCCCTTGGGAGGCCCCTGCAATGCCATGCAGGGAATGGTCTGGACTCTGGGTGTCCAGCACCCTCACCCAGCAGGAGAGGGAACTTGTGTCTGATTATTGGAGCTGCCATAACATATTATGACAAATGACGTGGCTAAAAACAATGGAAATGTATTCTCAACTCTGGAGCATGAAGTTGTGGCCTTAGGGTGTCACAGAGGCTTTCGTCTCTCCCATCTTATTGGTGGCTTCTTTCCACTTCACTGAAGCTGTCAGGCTTCCACCCGTAGCTTCACAGAACCTTCTGTTTGCTGTGTGTCTCCTGCTTTTTAAAAGGGCCCAGTTACACAGGACTGAGGTTCCATCCTCCCCCAGTACCTCTTCTTAACTTAAAGCTTCATAGAATCTGCAAAGAGCCAGGGAGATGGCTCAGTGGAATAAGCACTTGCCTGGCAAGAGCAAGGCCCTGAGTTTGATCCCCGGTTCCACCAAAAAAAAAAAAAAAAAAAAGAGAATCTGCAAAGATTCCATTCCCAAATAGGATCACCTTTTCAGGTACAGGGCTCCGACTTGAGATTGGCTTGGAATGAGCTTCAATTGGTAACAATATGCCTGAGCTCTGGAAGCTAGTTGGCGGGTTCACTAGCCCCTGCTGCTCAGGGACAGGCACCCACAGGAAACACCCATGTTCCATACATCCCTGCTCAGAGCAGGCCAGCGCCTCACCAGATCTTTAATAGATTAAGCATGTGCAGGATGCTTTGGGTCCTGCTGCAATTGCTCCAATGAGAGGACAAGGACAGAGACCCTGACCACTGTGACCCCGGATCCAGCTGGTCCAGTGATAGCACAAGGGACAGCCAGAATGATGTCCTGATGGGGCCAGGACTGAGAGCAAGGGCTAGGATGGCTGTGGGAGCCACCAGCCCTGTGGAAAGTCATAGGGAAGTTTATAATATGGAGTGGCTTTCCCAGCAGAGCTGACCGCCCATCATTGCACTCCCATGTCTGGTGACACACAGCCTATTTGCTCTCATTAAACCACCAAGGCTCAGTGACCTCAGTTTTCTGAATCCCAGACCAGGACTGTTGTTCACTTTGCCTGTGAAGGACAGAACAGACTGTGGGCATCAGGGCGAACTCACATGTCTGTTTCACTTTCTGGCATCTCCAGGTCATACAGGTATTTCCAGGTAAGACAGGAGAGAATTCTCCCAAGGTTTAGTGTCAGTCGTCCACCTTCACACATCACCTCCGTCTGTCATTTCCTGGAGTGAGCTGACTACCCACCTCACCCTGGGCTCCAGAGTGCCATATGTCCCTACAAGAGACCTGCTCACTGTGTCTGGGCAGCTCTAGGCCCACTCAGTTGCTGCCTCTCCTGCAGGTGGCCAGCACTGGTCCTTTTCCATAAACCCATCTGTCTTTGCCTCTGACAGCTCCCTGGCTCCAAACACAGGCTGAGAATTAGCAGAGAAACAAGGAACCACCTTCTCGGAGATGAAAATACCTAGTTTAAGCAAACTGCCCTAGTCCCACCATGCCTTGTCAGGCCTGAGGTTAGCCACTTGCTTTGACCACTGGGCTCGTGTCCCTGCCTGTGAAGGAAGTGGCCCTGTCCCATGGCATCAGTGGATGGTCCAGCAATGGGAGGAAGGCTAAGGGCCAGTCACCAGCGGCCACGCTATATTCAGGATGGCTTGTCTCTTTTGCTCCCTTTGCTCATGTCTTACCCCCGAATGAAGGAAAAGTTTTAAGGTGTGAATGTGAAATAGTGACATGCAGCCTTAATTCAGGATGACAATTTGGTCATTGATTAGCTACATGGAGATCAGAGAGTAATTCTGAGGGGAAGCAGTAGTGGAGGATTGATTAATCCTGCTTCTACCCAACTGCTAATAGGCCAGAAAATCCAAACGAACTGTTTTCTCATTCTACACCAAGTGCCTTTGTTCTTACCAAGTCCCATGTTAGCAGGCTATCTGCACAAATTTATATGCTGAGCCCCGGAGGCCCAGCACTATGGAATGTGGCCATAGTGGGACTCTTGTGGAGGTGATTACATTAAAATGAGGTCATTAGGGTGAGCCCTTCTCCAACCTGACTGGGACCCTTATAGGATGAGAAGGGGACACAGACATACCCAGGGTTGATCCCACAAAGACACAGGGAGACACCACCTGTAAGCCAAGGGGAGAGGCCTCAAGAGACACCTACATCTTCCACTTCCAGCCCACAGGATGTGAGCTCTGCCTGTTTGCTATTCAAGCTGCCCACCTGTGGATTTTGTCATGGTGGCCCCAGGAAACTAGGGCACAAAAGATGCTGAAGCTTTGACAGGAAGGAGTAGGTCACACCTTGGGAACCTATAGGAGAGATGAGATCCCATTCGGGGGCTCACAAATCCTCAGTGTAGACCAGAGTCTGTTCAAAACAACCGGCTGGGTGGAATGCGTTTGAGTGGGATGTGAGTGCAGGCACAATATTTGTCAGCACAGTGCCCACTCAACAGCCTTGGACAGCTGGTGCACAGAGACATATAGGTGTGCAGCTTGACTGGTCGGCTCAGCAGCTTGATGGTGACAGCAAGGACCCCCTCTCCTCGTGTCCTGTTGTACACTCAGGTGTGGCTTACACAGGAGCTGCCTACGAGTTGCCTATGGTAGCTCAAGTGTCACATCCCTGTGTGATGACATGCCAGAGGCAGCCGCTCTGAGGAACATGTCCTTTCCCAGCAGATGCCACTCCATCTCACTGGCCCAGATTCCTGACCCAAGAGCTAGAGGTGGTGTCACCAGGGCTCAGGGGCTGCTCGGCAGCTGCCTATGTGGATTTAAGGCCTGCAGGGACCTGTGTTGGTGCTCCAGAAAGTCAGGTGGACACAGGCCAAGGCCAGCACACAGAGGCTTGATGATCAGGGCATGCCGAGGCTCTGTGTGACAGAAGCAGCATCTGTTGCTCAGACCCCTGGGGTGGGAGAGGTGAGACAGTTACATCAGGGAGAGCTCCATGGCTGGCCAGCAGGGCGGACACTTGCCAGGCAGGTGGGGACCATTCTCTTCAGTGACTACTTCTCCCTGGTTATCAGACAGGTGGCAAGGATATAACAGCGGTCCCCCTTGGTTGGCCACACCAATGTTCCTTCAAACCTGGATCCCAACCCTCAGCATGAGGCACATGGTGGCTCCCAGGGTGTTAGAAATGGTACCAGATGAAGGGCTAGCCTGATAGCCCAGTGAGCTACAGTGCCTGCTTAGGCAGGGCGCAGTGGCCGAGGTTTGATCCCCGGTGTGCCGTGCCAGCCCCGCTCCACACACACATGCGCTGAGATGGTGACTGAGACTGTGTGTGGTGGCGTGCACCCGTAATTCCAGCATTTGGGAGGCTGAAAACAGGAGGATCATGAGTCTGATCTACGTAGTGAGACCCTGTAGACCCTGTCCTAAATACAGAAAAAAAGAAAAAATGGTACCAGATGAACCAATGAAACTGGGCTTTAAAATATGCCATTTATTTTATTTTCCTATTAAAGAAACAATACATTATTAAAACAGGTAACTTAGAAAATACAAAATTCCAATGAGGAAAACAGCCAAGGTCCTCTGGCCCAGCACTCTTAGTGCTTTGAAGTTTACCCCACCTCTGGGGACAGTGGGAAGGGCGCAGCAGGCTGCTCTGGGCTGGCACTGGCATTGCTTCCCTGCCCTCAGCTGTCCAGGGAGCCCCAGAGCTTCATGGGCCCGGTGCAGCCAACAGCAGCAGCGCAGCAGAAGGCAGGGCTCCCGGTGCTTTGTGGGGCTGTGGATGCTCCTGCTCCGCTGCAGGGCTCTCAGACCAGGCAATCGCTCCGCAGTCTGTCTGCGCACCTCCAAAGGGGAAACCACCTACCTCCCAGGCCACTGAAGCAATGGAACAAAAGCTGGGAAGGGCAGCACAGTGCACAGTAGCCTCATAAATGCCGAAGGACCAATTATGCCTTCCCATTAACCTACCTCACACCAACCCTCTTCTCTCCCTACATTACTCAGGACTGAACACGGGCCTTTGCCAAGTTCTGTCTAATCCTTCTCATACTTTGGCTAAGTTGCTAAATTGCCCAGGCAAACTTTTTTTTTTCCCCAGAACCGAGGATTGAACTCAGGCCCTTGCACCAGGCAAACTTCTAATTGTCCTACCTCAACCTACCAGAGTATTGGGAATACAGGTGTGTACCACTAAACCTAGTTAACCCTTTTTTTTTCTTTTTTGGGATAGGATCTCACTATGTAGCTTAGGCTGACTTTGAACTCACTCTTTATCCCTTAATCACTCTGTATCAGTTCAAGGCTGGCCTTGAACTCACAACAATCCTCTTCTTCTGTCTCCCCAAGATTGAAATTACTGGTGTGGAGCACCACATCCAGTTCAACTCATTTTTTTTTTTTTTTTAAAGCAACTTCCCCTGAGCTCAGGCCTGCGGTAATCCTAATCCTACCCAGGGTAGCACCTAGCAGGCCTGCCTTGCTGAAAGGTCAGTGAAGCCACCAACTCTAAAATAGCAAGCAGTGAGCAACCTCTCAAGGGATCTGAGGGCTCCCCTGGACAGCACTGCTCACAGCACTGGAGCAACCCAGGCAGAAAACCTCAGGGAACGAGGCCAAACGGGGACCCTCCCTCCACAACAATGAATACCCTGTCATTGTTTTGCCTTTAATGACATTTTTCAACACTTAATATGCAGACATCTGTTCCTTGATGTTTCGTCTTTGTTCATCTGTCATGTTCAGAATGAAAGTCCAGGACCTTCCGCACTAATTTTAAAGTCCGGCTGAACATTGAGTAACGAACAAAACTGAAAACACAAAAGCAAAAAGATGGCATTTTAAAGTCTTGCTCATTTCTGCTCACTAATGAGAACACAGCCCTCTTATGACGGCAGCTTTTCTCACCAGACCTCAGTTAAGTCCGAACACCTGTCCCCCACCCATCCTCAGTTGTCCTGCAGAGAGACAGAAACGATCTGCCTCTGGGACTGTGCACGGGGTGGACTTGGCCAAAGCCAGCACAAAGCAAACCTCATGGACCTGCGCCAGCCACCCCAAAGAAAGGCACACTCTGGCACTCAGGCAGAAAGGGACATACAGAAAACAAACCTGCTTAAATTTTCCTCTAATTTTGTCTAAGTCTTCATGGAGCTTATCATAAGTAGGGTCATCATAGGGGAACTTCTGAATCATTCCAATCAGTGACTCCAAGACCTTCATCTTCCTGCTGTGAAGCACAGAACAGAGGCTTTCAGTCCTCTGTACACAACGAACTCAGCTTATATAATAACCATGCTGCTCACTTAAAAGCAATGGGTGTGCTAAGAGTGCCCCAGTTCCGAGCCCGAGGATTAATGTTCTCATTAAACTAAATAATATTTATTTTCCTAGCAACAGGCTTTTGCCCACACCTAGCGCTTCACAGCAGACAGAAGCAGCGGCACACACGTGTGCTTGCCTCCGTGCCCGCCATGGAGGCGAGCAACTGGGGCAACCTGCATGGCCCTCTTGGTCAGAGACATCAAAACAGAAAACAGACAGAACCAGGCGAGAAAGCAAGTGGCTGTGGCATGAACAAGCCTGTTCGGAGCTGGGACTTTCCAGGAGGGCAGCCCCACTTGCAGCCTTTAGGGGTTCAGCTACAGGTAACCCAGCCCCTCCCAGCGAGGGCAGCACTACTCCCTGGTATCAAGAGCCCAGTTCCCTTTGCCAGGAACACAAGCTTGTCCAGAGGCTGCAAGAGGGCACCCACTCGGTAGGTGGGCGGCCTCAGGCACATCTCCAGGACACTCAGTCATTTCACTCCTCTGAACTTCGATGTCCTCATGCACAAAACTGGGAAACAGCAACTTTGTGTACTTTTAAGAGAACTAAGTCACCTTTGTGAAGTCTGAATTGTGGTATGGAGCAGATATTCAATGACGGGACTCCCTCACTTCCATGGAGTTGGGGATCTCACCTAGGGGCCTTAAAAATAACCTATTTGTTTGTCCTGGGGCTTTCCAAGACACAGGTGACCCAAGGAGCACACTGCCCCTTCAAAGCAAGGCTATGGTCAGTATTTGATCACTCGTAATTCAAAGCAACCACAACCTCCTGAGTACCCAGACACACCCAGCCGGGTGGTAGGAGCCTATGTGTGCCCAAAGGTGGTAGTGCAGGCCCTGGCTGGGCCAGCGTCGTGTGCAGACAGCATCAGCACTGCTGAGCAGGCAGTAGCAGCAGCAACATGTCAAGAATTTACCAAGAAACTGCAGCACCTGGCTGAAAGTGCCCCCTTTGCTTGGTGACAGCGCTCCACGGATTCGTAGGTACAGAAATGCTCACTCCTTCAGGGCAGACCATGCAGGTGGCAACTGTTTTCTCTTTAATATCCTTATTTTAAAAATGGAAAAGTATTCCTTTTCCAAAAACATTCTCCTTTCACCATTCACCCATAAAAAATAACCCTATAGAGCTGGGGCACAGCTCAGTGGCAGAGTACCTGCTCAGCACATGTGAGGTCCTAGAGTTGATTTAAAAAAAAAAAAAAAAAAAAAAAAGTACTGACTTAGAAAATCCAAACATTGCAAATATGCAGGCTTTAGGTTCCAGAGATCTCAGGGCCTGGCCAGTACGCTGCTTGTAGACATTAGGAGACCTTTGTTCGGGGCCAGGGCTGGCTGCTGCCTGCCCTGGCAAGACAGCGTTTGAATAAGCAGTACCCCTGAGTGGTGATAGTGGGCAGAAGTGGAGACTGCCAAAGAGCTCCCGAACAGTACCCTTCAGGGTTCTGTCCTTTTTGGACCTAGTGGAGAACCAAGCTCAGCTGTGACTGCCACCCGGTGGCAGCACAGGCCGTCAACAACTAGTCTACGTCACCACCAACTGCCCTGTCCCTCAAGGCCTCAGGAAAACCCTTTACAGTACACCCTAGGTAACCTAAGCATCTGTTCAAACAAAAGGAGCAGACAGGTAACATGCACAAGTTAGACTACAGGCAACCCTGGCAGCATGATACTTAGTCACAGGTATCCTTGTTCTTGCTTTTAAATATGGGCATGACCCAGGCTACAGAAATTCAAAATATCTAAAATAAAAGGACAGATCATATGGAAAGGGGATGCTACCTTCCCTGCCATGCTGGGAAGGCACCAGGCACCCAAGTGCTACATGGGGCCAACCTACATCCACCTTCTCTTGGCAGCAGCAGGCACCCAACTATATGCATCTTCTACTTAAGGGTTTGCTTCCAGCCTAAGAATGAAGACTGGTAAGACAGCCTCCATGCGTGGGTCAGGCAGGCAAGCAAAACATGGTGGGATGGCTCAGTAATGTAGAAGACAATTCAAATGGCATATAACACTTACATAGGGCTTCCAAGTACTGGAAAATGAGTCATGCATGTTGGAAGGCTTTCTGGCTAAGGAAAAGGCGCTGACAATGGGGTCAGTGCTTCTGAACCATCAGAGACCACTGCAATCCATTCATCAGCAGCTCAGGGGAGGGATGAATAGGACAGAAGTCACTTAGTATCACTTTACTGCTGTGGCGTCTAAAAGCCCCTCAGTGCTTTAATAACTCCAGGAACAAGGCAGGGGAAGCAAGAACTCCTGTGACAAGTAACGACGCCCAGTGTTCATCAGATACCCAAATGCGCCCTGCACTACTTATTATTTCAAGTTTTCTAACAATATTCAAATTTGACATTATTTTCTCCATTTTACAGATGAGGAAACTGAGATGGAGTGAAGTCACAATGAGAAAGGTCACTAGGAGTAGCTAACAGCCTGCACCCATCCTGGCCCATATATTGAGAAAGAAGGAAAAAGGACAGCTCCAACGTCACCTGTCTTTCTCACTGGCACAACTATGCAGGAGGCACTTCCATACAAGAGCAAAACCTTGATAGCACCCGATCTGCCAATTAAAAAAGATTGAAGAGTGAGGTTAACAAGCAACTACCTGTACTTTCTCATGACCAAACTCTCAAAGCACAAGGCACAAGAGCAGCCATACTTCCTTTCCATTACTGTTCTGGAGGGACCCGCGGAACTTTGGACAATGAAAGTTAGGTGTTAAGTCATCAACCACCATGACAGGCTCCATGCTGCTTATCCCTGTTTTCACGTCCCAAGCAATCCCCTTGACTACTAGGGCGGTGGCTGGCGGCATCAACAGAACCGGAGGAAGGAGCGCTCACTTCTGAGGGCTCACTTAAAAGGAAAATGTCATTTCTGCTTGCTCTTCTGGATCACAGCTCTTAAGTGTTACAACAACAGAGCAAACAAGGGGAAGGTTCATGTCCACTGTTGCCTGCGTGTGCCACACCAACACCAGGCCTTCAGAGGGGACCACAGCTCTGGCTGACACTATGGCTGCAGCCTCCTAAGGCCCTAAGCCAGAACACCTCAGCCAGGTGGTTCATAAATTCCCTCCCCTCAGAAACCCTGCAGGGAAAAGGGGGTGTATTTTAAGGCCCTATGCTGTAGGCATCTGTTTTGTGGGACGGGATTGTTGTGACTGCCTTACCTCAGGCTCTGCCATTTAGAGCCAGGTATCTCTCTGTAAGAGAGGACCAATCTAGGACAAAGGATAAGAGGAAAAAAAGTATAAATTTTATGGAATTTTTTGTTTGCTTTGTGACACAGGGTCTTGTTCACAGGTTCAGGCTGGCTTTAAACTCACTATGTAGCCTGGGCTGCCCTTGAGCCCACAGCAACGCCTCACCTTAGCCTCCGGAGGAGAATTTCTATGTAAACACAGGCACCCACTGTGAGGCTGAAGAGACTAGAAAGTACCACAACACTGCAACGTAAGGTGGGGTGCTCAAGGACTTGTTTTCTCATTCTCCAGCTGCACAATTTAATTATCTCCATGGCACAGTGTGCGGTCAGTTCTGCACTAAGAACACTTCTCCATCAACACTGTGTCCAGCCCATTAAGCCCGACACAAAGGCCTTGCAATGCTACGAGGCCTGATGCTCTGGATGGATCTCACTGAACATTCATGTAAACCATACACTATAAAGGAACAGAGTTTGCTTCTAAATGAGAGTTACTCCATACCTCTGATCCAATTTTGGCTCCATGTAAGGTACCATGTTGTCTTCCTTCAATTATACCCAAACTACTGCCTTCTTCGTAGCCTTCCTGGTACCCCTCTCCGTGGAACCTGAGACGGAGAAGAAGCACACTTCATCAAACAGGAAAGAGACTTCTTTCTCGAAATAATTCTCCTCTCTTATATTAACTAGACCCCACAGAGTAAGACTAACTAGGGCAGAAGTCTAAAACGTGAGTCCCGTGGTCCAGTTCTGGTCCGGCTCTCCCCTGCCCTGAGTGTCTCAGCTCACCAGTCACTGTGTGCCATCTGAGACTAGTTTTTTTTGTCTTCTACAGGAGGTGAGCTAAATGAGTAATTCTCACAACTGGTAAGGGGCCAGAAACAGTGAAAATTTAAGTTATAAACTCAAGAGCCTGACAGTGAAGTGGCCTGGAGTAAAGCCCAGGAATCTACTTTTCAATCTCCTAGGTGACTCTGGTCTGAAGCCACCATAGAAAGGGGACCAAAGCTCTAAGTGTACAGGCAACACTAATTTGCACCAGTTGTTTCCAAAAACCTCTGCAAGATGTACGGCTCTTTTCATCCTATCTCCCTAGATTAACAGGGAGAAATGCCATTATGTCATCACAAAATGAGATAACTGGAATGTGGTAAAGCCACTGGCTTTAATCGTTCCATGGCGGCAGGGCAGTGCTTTAAATCCATTGCCTAAACTGGGCTAACACAGCTGAGAAACACTACCCGGCTGGGTTCTCTTTTAAAGCAAGTCCTAGGGGCCGGGGAGATGGCTCAGTAGAATAAGCGCTTCCCTGGAAAGCGCAAGGTCAAGGGTCTAAGTTCAATCCCCGGTTCCACAAAAAAAAAAAAAAAATCATCAAAGCAAGTCCCAAACAAATGGCAGGGACGGAAAGTCAAATGTTCCCTGGCTGCGTTAACCGGCATCCACCGCCGTCTCCTGTGGGCCTGAGGACAGCCAAAAGGCCAAGCGCCCCGCTCCGCCCGCTGCCTCCCTGGGAGCTCCCCAGGGGCTCCGGGAACAAAGGGACGCCGCCTGACACATGGATCAACAGGTCCATGAATACTGCCGTATGCCTGGCAATTAAGAAACAAGAAAAGTAGCAGCTCCCAGATGGCACGCCTGTGCCACTAGCGCAGGGGGCGTTCCTGGAGGAACGCAGTCCTCAGGCCGAGCAGATGCTAGGGGCGGCGGGCGAGGCGGGTCCCGAGCAGCTGGGCACGTGGCGGGTCTGGACGAACGAGGAGCAAGGCGAACTCATTAGCGCTCGCTTTCAGGGCCACTCGGCGGTGGGCGCAAGCGGGTACCCCATCCCGCAGCCCGTCAGCTACAACCAGGCCCGGAATTGCAGGCGGCCGCGGCCCAGCCTCGCCACCCACCTCTCATCTGCCATCACGATGGCGTCGAATATGTCCAGACTCTCGGCCATCGCGGTAGCCAGGCCCTCCCCACTAGACTCTGGGGGGCCGACTTCTGAGGATTACAGCCCCTAGCTCGCAACAGAACAAACACCTGGCTTCCGAGGAGGTAAAGTTCACTTCCGGAAGCGGCCGCGCGGAGCCCGTCGGGAAACCACGGCAAGCAGGAGGGGCCAAAAGAAGCCAGGACGCCTGCACGGCTGAGACAGTGGGCGGAGCTGGTCTCCGACGAAGCCCCGCCTATTGTCCTTTTCTCCTCCCTCTTTCCTGGAGCGCTAGGCGGACGGGTGGCCCCGCAGAGCTGGCCTTTGTCGGAGCGCAGAGCGTTGCAGGCCTCGTTTTTATTTATTTATTTTTTTTTAAAGCCAGACAGATGTGAGTGAATTACTAAACATGACAGGAAAAGAATTTGAAAAGTTATCAAATAACCGGCTCCTTTGGAGACTCCGGGCCCCGAAGCTCCGCCCGTGGGATTTGGGGGAAGTGGAGGAAGCTGACTGCGGGCTGCAGGGCGGGGCGCAGAGGAGAGTTGCGCGGTCCAGCAGCCCGCAGCGGGATCCGGAGGTGTTCTGCCCCCATTGGCGTAGGGACCTCCGAAAAGGCAAATAATAAATAACAAATGTGGCCATCTGTTCTTGATATGTAAGAGTTCTTGCAAAGTGAAATACAAAAAGCTGTGCGTGCAGTTGCCTGGTGTCTTGAGTCCTTTTTTTTTTTTCAGTTTATGTTTATTTTTTGGTTTTCTTGCTGCGATCTGAACGTGTGGGTTACCAGCTTGCTAGGTAAGGGTTCTACCACTGAGCTAAACCCCAAACCCGAACGTCGGCTATTGCTGTGTGTGTTTAAAACAAATACAAGGTGATTCATGCAACATAAGAATTAAACATCAGAGAGGTTTGACCCCCACCCCCACTCCAGGCATTCCAACTGGAGGCCTCCATTCTTAACAAAACAACAACCAAAAAACCCCACACCATTTGGTTTTTGCTCTCCTACGTCATCTCTACCAGAGATACTTTTTTGAACGAGATATTTAAAAAGCTATTTCAAACTATCAGCAACAACAGAACATAATGGGAAACACCAGAAATACTTCCTTTCAAATGAAGAATAATAAAACAAGAATGCATTTATCCCATACATGCTAACTGGATGTTTTTCTACAAGACCCAGCCCATGCAGTAACACGTGGCACAGAAGCAAGAAGTGTAAGCATCAAAAAGAAAAAAAAAAAGTATCGCTATTTCCAAGTGTGATGCCATTCTCAAAAATTTATCTGAAGTCTCAGAAGTCCTGACAGGGTCGGGTAAGGAGTAACGTGCTAACCCTACAGAAATTAGCAGTTGCCTGTGAAGGATGTCGTGGGAAAATCACTTTACAGTAGCCACAAACTCCTTAGAAAGAATAATTTCTAACAAACTCAAGCAGGACCATGTGAAACTGTTGTAGGCAGCTGAATTAGAATGATAGGCAGTCAGACAGGGCCAGGCCCTCGAAGGAGACAGCACAGAAGACAAGATACCTTGCAACTGTGAGAGAGACGGATGCTCCTGCTATGGGCCAGACCCAAAGACCGAAGATCGACAAATGCTCACCTCCCTAAAGATTAGCATCCGGGATTGATTGTCACCCTGAGGAAGCCAGGAAGAGTCACTAATCCAACTGCTACCAGCTACCGGATAAACTGTCCTATATTCATGCACGCTTGCTATGTGACTTTCTTCCCCATTCAGTCCATGATTTCATCAGTTTTACCCGAGCAGTGGAGCTTGTAACCCTATTGGTTGACCATAGTTTTGTCCCACCTCATGCCCACCTAAGTGAGTTCCCGTGGTCTCCATCTTAGACTTAGTATTATTTCCATTAGAACTATCAGTTACTACTCCCTCCCCCATACACCTGGGGCCCTCACCCGCATGGTTTTACTCTTATGAAAATCCCTGGAAGAGACAGCTTCCCGGGACAACCCACTTGGACCCCCCTTTTGTCCTTCTCTCAGAAAAGAGCTTTCTTTCCCCCAATAAATATACTCTGCTCTTAACCTCTGTTTTTCCTAAAATTCATTCTTCCGTCTTAGAGAACATGAACTCGGCCCAGGTATTTTTTTTTTTTTCAGGTTGGGAGTTTCATTCCCCAATATCAAAACAAACTAGAGATAAATAACAAATTAGTACCAAGCAAAATTCCTATAATCTGAGAAAATGTGTCCAGATTCTAAATTTCATCGTCGTGATTAGACAGTTAACAATAACACATATTTATGAAAGGGCATGACACGGACAGCTTGCCAAGTCAGATACAGAAAGATAAAATTTGGTACAAATGTGGAATGCTGGCTCAAGAATGCACAGATCAACGAATTCGACTAGAATGGGGCAGAATGAATGCAGAGATGCACAGCCTCACATGCTAAAAAGAGGGCCCCAGGTGTATGGGGGAGGGAGTAGTAACTGATAGTTCTAATGGAAATAATACTAATAATGGTCAAATTCCATTTATATTTCACTCCATTCAAGATATTTTCCAAGGGCCAGGGAGATGGCTCAGTAGAATAAGCGCTTGCGTGGCAAGCGCAAGGGCCTGAGTTCAATCCCTGGTTCCGAAAAAGAAAAGATATTTCCAAATGAGCTGGGTGTAATCCCAGCACAAGGAAAGCTGAAGCAGGTTCACTTCATGTTCAAGGCCAGCCTGGATTACAGAATGAAATCCTGTCTCAACACAAAACAAAACAAAACTTCAGGTGAATTAAAGAGTTAAAAAAGGGGCTGGGGAGATGGCTCAGTAGAATAAGTGATTGCCTAGCAAGCACAAGGGCGTGAGTTCAATCCCTGGCTCCACCAGAAAAAAAAGAAGAAGAAGAAAGAAAAAGAAAGGAAAGAAAGAAAGAACTTTGAAAAGTCCGGGCTGGACATTCAGGAGGGTAAAAGTGTGCCTCTGAGCACATAAAATGCATACAGGAACTCACAACTGGAAAACCTAAGTAATTTGAACCTATGTAGATACAAATTTCTTCATCCCAAAAGCAAGAAGTTCAATACCCAGTTCCGCCAAAAAAAAAAAAAAAAAAAAAAAAAAAAAAGAAAAGAAAAAAAAAATGAGAAGAAAAAGTAAAATTAAAAACCAGAGAATAATATGGGAAAATGCTTGTCATAAACATTATAAATGAAAGAATCATATTTTTGGTTTATAAAGAACTTATTAAAGTGGTCAAGAAGTATACACTTTTTTAAATTTATTTTTATTTTTTTGCGGAACCAGGGATTGAACTCAGGCCCTTGCTCTTGCCAGGGAAGCGATTCTTCCACTGAGCCGTCTTCCCAGCCCCCTAAATGTGCGCATCTTAACAGCAAAAGTGAAAGGGCCGCAGATGTGCGTATACTCACAACTCGGGGGTAAGAGCACCAGGTGCACACGGGGACCCCCTTGTCCATCCTCACAGGAACCTTGAGACAGGCAAGGAGATGCATCTTTTTTTTTTTTTTAGGTGCATCTTTTTAACCTTTAAAAAAAATATAGAGGGGCTGGGGAGATAGCTTGGCAGTCTAGATGTCCATTTGGTAAGCACAAGGACCCGAGTTTGATCCCGGGTACCACATGCTGTGCTGGCCCCAGAACCTGGGTGCACCATGCTGGCTCCAAAACCAGGCACAGTGGCACATGCCTGTAATCCCAGCACTGGGGAGGCTGAGACAGGATGATCACTCTGAGCCCGAGCTGTGTATCGAGACCCAGTACCAAATAAATAAATAAATAAATAATAAAAGAATAAAATATGTAGAAATTATTGTTTTCTTCATCATTTTTGAGCCACCACGCCCTCTGTGGGAGGCCAGCTCAGTATGCTCGGGGTGGGACCCAGGCACCATGTGGTGTCAGGGTTCAAACCTGGGTCCCTGCACTTGCCAAGCGGACACTTAGGCTACTGAGCTATCTCACCGGCCCCTGCTTTCTTTCTTTTAGGATTAAAAGATGCTTTCATTGTCCTCAAGTACATAGCTTTAAGCTAATTTTTGGTCGCGTGGTTCAGAAAGTCAGGAAAGGAACCTTAAGTACATTGTACACTCTGACCTCGTTGCTTTATTTCTAGGATTTCATCTCAAGGAAACAATGAGAGGAATGTGAAAATTTTACATATGAGGACACACAGGGCAGTGTGTTTTGTAAAATCAACTGGAAAAGCAGTATGAAGTGACCAAAGACTGATGGTGACACCTGGTGGGATATTCATATGGAAAACTGTTTTTTGTTTTGTTTTTTTTTTTTTTTTTTTTT